CTTGGACAGTTGTGCATAGGAGATTGAATATGTAATAAAGAGGTGTGACATGTATTACAGTATTCCATGTTTGTGGCAGACGCTGGAAGATGAGCCAGCCTCTCCATTGTTTGATGATCCAAGCCTGACACCTGCTGGTGGAACTTGTGAATGGATTTTATTGAACTACAACTTATTACCTTGTGTGGAAGCTTTGAGAAACTAAATATAATAAAACTACATATAATTATTATAAAAAAGATTGCCTCTGTCTGCATCATATTAAGAACTTAACCAAGGAGGGGTCTTTCTGCTAGACTGTAAGTATGAATTTGAATACTTATTATCTAGGCCTATTTGAAATGAAGACTTTGATAGGACTGTAATTGTAGCTTGTTGGGATAAGTGACCACTGTGGTGCATCGGTAAGAATGCAACTGAATGCTCTGACTCTCTTTATTGAGAGTATTTGATGCTCTGACTCTTAGATTTATTGACAGTCAACAGATGATTGTCTGTCTAGTGTTGTGGCGCCATCTTGTGGCTGCCAGAATCTCATTGAACAACACTCACTGACCCTGACCAGCCAGAAACAAACAAGACCAGTCAACATTTTAGACTGGTATTAGCGTTTTCTTTTCATCTGTTATTGTCCACAGAAAGTTTGTCCTTTTAAATGTCTGTGTTAAAGGAGTGCATTGAAATGATTGCTGTAGGCCTATGTGCAACTTCAATCTTCAATCATTTTTAATTTTGTAGTTGCTGTTATAGTTGCTTGAAATATAATACAGACCTATTGAAATATTAACAGTTTTCTATGTTGCTTTAAAATACATTTATTGTATCAGACTACTACACACATGTGAAGGCCTTCAAAGAAGGAAGATGCTTTGTGTTCCTCTAAGTGTAGTTACAGCATCTACCAGCAGGGGCGAACAGGCCGTTCAGGAACTCACTAACCAGAAGAGAAAATATACCATGAGCCACTTGTTTTGTGTTTCATGTACTATGAAAATTCTCAAAAATGTTAAAAGTGTTATGAATGTACTTTTAATTTAAAAGCACATTTTCACAGTGAGGAGACCATTTCACGAATCTCTGGAAACAAAAGAGATTGCAGTGACATAGGACACTGAAGCACTCAGAAAAAATAGCTGAAACTGAGCAATCCATTACAAAGATTGTACAATTACCAACAAGCTTTCTTTATCACTTGATGTAAAAAATCTGAGTGAATGAATAACAATCCGATATAATAGAAGGTATATTTTCAAGACAGGAGGAAGATCAGATCTTATAAATTGTAAAAAGCCAATCTTAATCAATTATGCTAATTAATAATTATTATTATTATAATAAATAATAAAGATTATATAAAGCATGTGAAATCTAACGTGCATGGACACGGCGCTCGCCCCGCTAAGAATCAGGTTTTGCGAATATTGAACTATCTGGACGATTGGCTGATCTTGGCACAATCAGACCAACATGACATCATGACTTTTGCGTAAACATATACGCCACTTTCGAGTCAGGTGGCGTGTTATCTCCCCGCATTTTGAGCTGTCCGCGTGTATCCACGTGTATGCGTATATGTCTACGCCATTAACGTCCGCGTCATTTCGCGTGTCTGTACACGACGTCAAATCTCCAGTCATAAATGCCATTAACCCCAGTGACGGTTAGGTTTAGGGACGGGGTTGAGGTAAGTCATATATTTATATAACGTTAAGTCAACGGCGTACATAAACACGCTGAAAGGCGATTATGCGTCTTGATAGCACGCCAAAAATGGAAATACGAATTGGCGTGGCATACACACGCTACTTCATGAGATCAGTCTGATCAGACAGAGTTTTTGTCTCACAGGACAGCGATCCTCAATCATCTGAAAAGCTTGGGTCTCGTCAACTGGATCAAGAGCTAATTACAGCCCAGTCAGGCTATATTTACTTTTTAGGAATAGAACTGGACGACGGCTCGCTTATCGACACAGCGCGTGCACCGTGTTCAGCGACTAGCAGCATCTTTTCAGACGAACAGCCTCACGCCTAGGGTTGGGTATCGAGAATCGAGTATCGATTGGAACCGAGACTAACTTTTCGTTTTTCCCGGAATCGTTCAAAAGTTAAAATTTCGATTCCTAGTTTCGATATTCACAGTCCGCCGAGCGGAAGAAGAAACCGCTGAACAACACCAACGAAGAAGCGTCTACCGGAAGTGTTGGCATAACCACGCGAGTCGAACATGAGTACCTTACGTCGGCGGTCCAAAGTGTGGCTTCACTTTTCTAAAAATAACGAAATCTCGGCAAAATGCAAAATTTGTGACAAAAGGAGTATTTTTACTGAAGGAGTATTTCCTTCAGAAAGGCCGTTGGTTAGCAAGGTTAGCTAAACTTTTTTGACCCTGCCTCTTAAAAGAATCAGAATCAAGAATCGTTAGGAACCGGAATCGAAACAAGGAATCGGAATCGGAATCAGAATCGTTCAAATTCAAACGATACCCAACCCTACTCACGCCTCTGAAAAATTTTCAGAAAATGCTACATGGCCTCAGCCGCAGCAGTACTCCAGCTGGTTTTACTGTGCATGCGCCCGCTACAACACTGGCTAAACGTCCGCCAGGCTTGGGTCTCAGGTCTCAGTTGATCAAAATGACTCAGACCTGTATCTCAGCTCTGCAGCCCTGGAAAGCAGCCAAATGTCATCAATGGGGAGTGATGATGGGAGCTATCTCACCGAAAAGTCATCTCGACAGACATGGGTTGGGGCGCGGTCTGCGAGGGCTCACCGGCTTTTGGCCTATGGTCAGTTCAGCCTTCACTTAAATTGTCTGGAAATGATAGTGGTCGAGTACTAGCTTACTCATCTAGAGAGAACCGATCACGTTAGGTAACCCGATTCGTTTCCGCTCTTTTTCTCTCGCTGCCAGAAGACGGTCTCCCGCTAATTTAGTTTTGATAATATTTCGTGAAGAAACTGCACAAAGGGTGTTTTGAAGCCATGCAAGAACAGTTTTTCATCATAGTTTTTTTTTTCGGTGTCTGAGTTGGGTGTGTACGTTTTGAAATGGTGCCTGTAACTAAAGATTTGAAATCCTCTGAATGTCTCACATTGCCTCTCCTTGATGATTTATATATCTCAAAACAGACTGGTTAAAGTGAAATTTAGTTGCCCAGCTTCAGAAAGAACACGCACAAGGCCAGAAAAAAGGAAAAGAAGAAGAAAAGGGGGACCTGTGATGACCTGATCTGACAGAGTGGAAGAATGAAAAAAAAAAAAACTTAAGACAGATGGAACAGTTGAATAACGTTTTGAATTGTTGCATATTGTGAAAAGGTTTATGATGGAAAGTCAACTTAAATGTACTAACTGTGAAATGTCAAATATGCAGAAGAAACTTGCATAATTGGAAACATAATGCAGGTTTGCTCAGCTAACTGAAATGTTACTTTTTCCTTTCCTTATTTATGTGCCACTGTGAAGCCAGGGGCAGGATGTGTTTTCTTGTAGATAAAATAACGGGTAAAAGTGTGAGCTTTTTGTGCGCAGAATCTTATGAGATAAATGTTCTTTGAACAGTAATTTTGAATGTTAACTGCTTTATGCATACCTTAAGGAATCATTTCTGTAATGGGACTGCCCCTAACGCTTAAAGACGGCCCTTATCAAACCATACTAAAGTTTATGTTTCCAGTTTCTCAGGGCCGCAACTTTTCGAGGTGAAGACTTCACACGCTTTTTTTTTTCTTTTTCTCATTTTGACTTTATTGTTTTTGTATCATTCTGAAAATTGAGTAAAACGCAACCATGATTTGTGATTCCAAAACATTTTAAGATCAGTCTAAGAATGATTTTTTCCTAGAAATCTTTATTTGAAATTTGTATTTTATACTAAGCAAAGAGCGCACACCACCGAAGGGACTCTGATACAGCTTACAACGCCACTAACCATCAGGTGAGCGCATTATGAAATGTAGGTTGCATGTGAATGGTGAGGGGAGATGTTATTAGGGATTACAGCGGTATAAAAATACAACAGTTTCCAAATCTATCTTTATAATTCCTTAGTCACTGTCTTGTTGGCTCAAACATAGCACCGTTTTGAATATCAGCAACTCCTAGCGACTGTTATAGGCTCAAAATATGTTTTGCACAGCGGGGTATTAAGCTGCCAAGTGTACAGTGATAATCAAATGAAAACAGGGAGGCACACAACTTTTCAAATTTGAGTATTTATTTATATATTTAACTTTGTTGGACTTTCACAAACAATGTTGGAATTTAAAATGTTAAAAATTTTGCTCACTATGCATTGATCACTTGTTTGTTTATTAAAAATATGGCCTGTTTTTAATGCAGTAAACCCTAATTTGTATTATTATTACTGTTATTATTAATAATAATAATAATTTTACATGCAGCTACCACACACACATCTAATTTAATTGCAATTACAATATTAAATGATTTTATTTATTTATTGCAAAACCGTGCAGCCCTTTTCTGTCTCTATGCATGATATTGATCCATAATAGAAGTATGATTGGATGAGGGATGGATGTATGGATATCTACCTATACAGATGCACAAACAATACAAAGCTATAAGTTAAAATTTGCTTTTAAGTGTTCATTTGTTAGCAGAGATGTGTATGTTGCGGTTTTTTTATTTATTATTATTCTATAACATCTTGTTTATCAACTCTAAATATATCTTGGGACAATTCAGTAGTTTAGTGCACAAAAATAGCGATTTAATGGCCAACTGAAAAGACCGTGTTTCTCTTTAAGAACACGAAAGGCACAAAATAGTATCTCCCGTTTATCTCTCCTTCTCTTAACATTACAAAGACAGTCCACCTATCAAAATAAACCACATAACAAAATAAAGTCCAGTCCTGGGTGAACTACAACGGTACGCAATTTTTATTTATTTGTTTTTATCCAGCGTTATCGTGTGTTGTGATGCGGAGCACAAGAGAACAACAGAGTTTGAAGCTGCACTGTTAGACCTTACCAGGTTTTTTTTTACAGTAAAATACTGGCAACACTGTAAAAATGCACTAAAACTCGAGTTAACTAAAAAAAATACAACTTATTAGTTTTAGCGCATTTTTACAGTATTTTACTGTAAAAAACCTGCTAAGGTCTAACAGTGTGCTCAAAGATCTTGCTCGCCTCTCAATCGTCCAATTTTAAAACGGTTTTCACAGGGTGAATTTTGAGTTCGTAAGCTTTCGAATGATACCTAGTCTATGATAATTACTAAAATATGTGATTTGAAAAAAAGGCATTAAATAAAGAGCGCCAGTCATCCAGCTAACAGGACAGGACTTAAACTGTTTTTTCTCAAAATTCTGTTTCTGAAAATCATAGCGATCACCCAACGTCAGATAACCATAACTTTTGTTACAGAAAAAAACATAAAACAAAACAAAAAACAGTATTATGTCAAATTCCACCATGTGGTAGTATCAAATAGTAGCCTATATATAATCTGATATATATATATAATATATAAAAAAATCCAAGACAAGACGATGTTTCATTAAAGTTCGGGAGGAGAACGTTCAAATGATCTATCCAATCAACACGTCATCAACAATCAATACATTTATCTCATCAGCATGAGAGGAGGCCTAGGCCTATATATAGCCTATATTATATAGCATATTTGTGATGCGATCTGGGAAAATATACATGCAACATAACAGCCATTCAGATTAGCATGTCTGCAAAATGTTGGTATGTTCATAAATATAAAATCGGATGATTAATCATTTTGCTGATATGAATGATCTTCTTTATTAAAGGGGATCTGTTCATCAGATATATAAAAATTGTGAACCAGACTACAGACGACAAGAGACAGGAGCATCATGGCGGGGGTTAAGGATTTTTTCAAGAAAATACTGGAATTCCTGATGAAATCATCCCTTTTCCAATCTTTTCCACTTAGCTTTTTGTCATTCGGATTGGAGGCCTTGATGGATCAACACTTCTCATGCCCATGCAACAAAAATTTGAATATGTGGTTAACTTTGGGCATATTCATTGGTCCTGCTCTTTTTATTTTTTGTTTAATGTTCCTCGTGTTAAGGCCTTTAAGACAGAAATGGTTTCATTGCCCGGATGGAGAGATAGACGATACTCAGAAGAACTGTCTTACAGATCTCGCATGTTGTCTGATTCCACCTGCAATGTGGATCGTCATCTTGTTATTTGATGGAGATTATTTAGCTTGTGGCTTTGCAAACTCTGATGGAGATTATGTTTTTGATGAGAAGCTAAACATATCGTGGTGTAAACCCATTTCAGAAGATAATAACACAAGATCGAGCAACTCTCATGGAAATATACAAGACACAGTTAATAATTTGCATTGGTCCAAGGTAAATATACAATCTTTATTCATCATAATAATAGTTTTGTCTGTACCTAATGCTAACCAGGAAAATGAAAATAACATGTCATCTGAAATACAAAAGCCTCAACATATACATATCATGATTACATGATTGTTCTTCTATTATTTTTCTTTTCTTTTAGAGTTTGGGTTATATCATGATTTCTGTCTTCAGTGTCTCGGCAATTGTCATTGTTGGTATTCATGACTGTTGCACATCTGGAAAATGTTGTCGTAAATGTCATACTCCCATCCCCACCGAACCGTCTAGTCCAGAGATCCCCAGTACAGGTGATCGAGGACAGCAGGACATACAGCTTCCTGATCGCACCAGCACAGTGCTATAATTTAGTTTGTTGTTGCATTTCAGAGTAAGGATAAACAGATTCAGGGGCGCAACTACCCAGTTTCAGAGGGGTATGCAGCAACAGTTTAAGCGCTTCCCCGTAAGAAAATTTTGTGTTCTGTAATGTTATGGTGCACTTTGAGAGTTCAAAATTAAAAGCTCCAACCCATATTCAGGGTGCAAATTAAACAAAGAAAAATTTGAACCTCTTTTAGTTAGTGTCTGTCTACATTACACTACTTCATAAGAATAGTTATAATATTAATCCCATGATAGTAATAGCCACAAAGGCTATTGTAAAACAAGTGCACTGAAAAATAAAGGAAACTTTCATAATTAGTTTTGCACTAATTTCTAGGCTACTTGAAAGATATAAGCGCATAATGACATGTTTCATGGGCCAGTGTGTCAGAAAAAAACTAAACCTGACTTTTTTTGACCAATGCATTACACCAACACTAACCCAGGATTTTTAAAGGATTTTTTATTTGTCTTAATAAAAAATTCTACGTTCCAAGCACGTTCCAAGAACGTTCAAGCTGGCAGTTATAAAACCTCTTATTAAGAAACCGCAATTAGATCCAAATAGCAAATTACAGACCCATCTCAAATCTGTCAAATCTGTCAAAAATATCAGAAAAAGTTGTTTCCGCTCAATTTGCCTCTTTCTCGCAAGAAAAATGTTCACCAGAGCAACCCATTGACAGTATACGGGAGCAACCTATGAGAGCAACACAAAACTTCCCAATGAGGATCTTCTTCTACATCTGTGTTTTTTATTGGCAGTTTACATACAAAGTGCATTACCGCCATCTTGTGGATTGAGGTGTGAACTCATTGGGATGTCATTTATATTATGTTACTAAACTAAATAAAATAAAAATAATAAAACCTAAATCCTGAGTTTCTTTCATAAAGATCATAACATCCTTTATCATAGATTATGTGGCAGGCAAACTCAATAGGTTTTGTGTTTACTTTCTGTTGCCTTCCTCTCTAGGTCTTTTCTTTTTTCAGAGTACTTTCTACTCATCTAGAGTATATGTTTTACATTTCCCACTTCTCCATGCATTCATTGTAATCCAGCCCGGTGTTTTCCTATTAACTTCAGGCAGGTTATTAATCTTGTGTGCCCTGTTCTTAACCTTGTAAGCACTGCACTCTGTTACTGGGAGGCGTGGCCTCCTAGGGCAGCGAAGCAAGTGCATTCTGGGAGTTGTGGTCTTTCATCCACAGAAGCCAAAAATACATTTTCTGGCTTTTCTCAATCAAATTCAAAAATAATTTCACATTTCTTCTACATAAATGACCCATTTTAAATACACATTTATCTTTCCAGAGGTAAAGTACCCCTTTAATATTCAAAATCCTTAATGAATGTGATGTATGACTTCTTGTGCTTCTGTGTTGATGCTACGGTTCTACATTTGTCAAATAATCCAGAGACGTTCAAATAAATATTTAGTGAAATAAATCAGCAAATAAAATAAAAATTCTATCTCATTTCATTTCAACTCTTAAAAAATTAAGCAAAATAAATCGATTAGCTTTCAAACCGACACATCCTGAATGAGTTTGTGTTTCACTTTCAGAAATCAAACATAGACGCTGTGTATGAAAATGTCCCACAAAGACGGTGATCATCTACTGGATTAGATGTTAGAGTTAATGTCTTACTGAACACTGACTTGCACCTTTTGACCACATTTATTTTCTTAAAATAATATATTGTATAATCTGTATAAAATATTGTATGGATATGTACCCAACATTCATTATTAAATATTATTCACTCCCTTCACTGTGTGTCTCTTTTACTGTTCTTGTTATATTCTTTTTAGAAAATTTTATAATTGCAGTATCACACAATATGATCTGTATATTTTGCCAAATGTAACACAAGCACATCATCGCTCTCTAGTGTCCAAAGCAGAAAATCAAATATAGTGCTACTTTTACTCGCTATAAATAGATGCAACTGTTGTCATGGGCTAGAGGAAGTGCTGAAGAACCAAACCGCAGAAGGCTATTTGAACAGCAAACCTCTTATATTTAATTTATTTTAAATGTGTTTGATTTCAGAGGGACTGCGGCGATAGTAAATCACACCAGTTACAGTAACCAGTAGATCAGCAACACATAGATATTGAAGACAGACCTGGGTGTTTCATGAAAAAGACTTAAGGCAGTTCACACCAAGAAAGATTACTATAAAGATTAATATCTTAGTGTCCACACCAGCGGACATCTCGTTATGTTTATTCATGCTAAGTGCATGCTTTTTTGTTTACTTTAAAAGCTCAAGATCTTCACAGAACGATGGATACTACGTTGGCTGTCAATGTTTTTATTGTTCTACATAAAATCGTTTTGAAAGTGATTCCAATGATATTGTTTCTCTGCAAGTGGTAATCTCTGCAGGGTCCCAATGACATCCAGCTCCCCCTCTCTGGACGTCTAATGGGGTGGAGGGATAGGGCTGTGAGTAGGATGTGGTTGGAGATTTTCTATAGCTCCACCCAGTAGGCCTAAATTAAACTCGTGGGGGCTCTTGACGGAGACTTCACACATTTGCTGTCTCTCTCTGTGACATTATTATTTCCTGTGCTGTGTCAATGTCACTTGTATAGCACTATTAAAACAACACATGTTGACCATTGTGATTGACCTCATCTTGAGTAAAATAGACAAAGCAGGACAATAATAATAGAATAAAAAACAAATCAAAAGCATGAATAGGCCATGGCAAACAGATGTGTCTTAAGTGATGGTATGAACTCTAGGCCTTTACTTTAATATTGAAAAAGATATTTAGAAGAACTATCTTAATTGTCATCGTCCTTGGTGTGAACAGGCCTTTAGTCATTATTACTAGACCATTATAATCGGTTTTACTGATATATTTGACTATATACGCATTTCTTCTTTAATCTTCAGTTGTGTATGATATTGATTTAACTGATAAATGTGTGTTTTTGAGGAACAACAGCAGTGCACAGTAAAACTGACTAATTTTATGCATAGTTATGTCTTGCAGTGGATGTGAAGGTGACATTTATATCTCATTTATATGTAAATATTGAGTCAAAGATCAAGTTTTCATGATTTGAAAGCTTTACGTATGTGTGTTCCTTCTGGCCCACAGTATAATTTCGGTGAGGATATACATGATCTGAATGTGTTCACTGCTTGAGAGCGGAGCATACATGGTCAGCTCTCGAGGTGGATGGCTGTGTACACAAACAGCCCATTCTCACCCCCAAGGCGTCACTTAACTGACGCCTTGGGAAGCATTTGGACATGCTTCAATATCTGACACTTTAGGCGCCCTTTAGCGTCAGTAAGATGACGCCCTAGGATCGCGTGTACCCTACCCCCACCCCACACCTAAACCTAACCGCGTCCTCTAACAGACGCTTTCCTTTAGCGTCAGTTAGATGACGCCGTAGGATCGCGTCATGTAAGTGACGCTAAAGGGCGCCTAAAACGTCAAATATTGAAGCATGGTCAAAGGTGACGCCTTGGGGTGAGAATGCGTTGACACAAAACAGTTTCCCTGGACTACGTTACACTCCCGCCTGGCCGTGTTTCGATGTAAGCGGCTAGGCTTGCGCTCCCCGCGGTTCAGGTCCTGAGGCTGCTGAGGCGGCCCGATGGCTTTACACGTGGGGTTCGCGAGTGGAAAATTTGAGCCTGCTTCAGACCTTTCTCAGCTCTCAATATTTAGCCCCAGCACTCATTTTGGGACACAAAAATCCCGCTTTGAGTGCATATTACTTTAACTGTCCACTTCTGACGAGGTGGACGTCCTAAGCATCAATATGGGTGACTAAAGTGACACCCCTTTCATCGCAGAATGAGGAGTCCGTGGAGGTTTTAACTCGTGCCGTGGTTAATATATTACCGGGCCGATCGGTAAAATAATAATAGATGCCATTCTTTCCAGATCTCCAAATGGAGGTGAGGAGATCCTGGAAAAAGCATTCTCCTCATGTCCTCCCACAGTTGATTCATCGATCGTAGGGCTCTAGGAGAACTGCTATGGGACGATGCCCAGGGTTGAAGAGACTTTAGCTGTATTTCTCTCCCCTGATGCTGCATCGTCTCTGAAAAGCCGACCCAGAGAGAAGCCCCAGCCAATTACGTCAGGTTTCTCACAGCGGTGCCCCCTTCTGAGAAGGAGCAAGTTACATCCGCTCCTCCACGGAGCTCTCAGAAAATTGATTCTTTAAAGGGTTAGTTCACCCAAAAATGAAAATTAAGTCATTAATTACTCACCCCCATGCTGTACCAACCCCGTAAGACCTTCGTTCGTCTTCGGAACACAAATGAAGATATTTTTGATTAAATTTGAGAGCTGTATAACTACCACATTGGCTCCTAAAGGACTGGCTCTTGACGGCCCAGAAAGTCAATGAAGAAAATGTTTAAATATCCCAAGTGACTACCGTGGCTCAACTATATGTTTATCAAGCGACGCGAATACTTTTTGTGCGAAAAAACAAACAAAAATAACGAGTTTATTCGACTATTTCTTTTCTTCCTTGTAGGCCAGAACGAGACTTCCTTAGATTTCCACGACACATGTGCGAGATTTGCGATCTGAAGTGGTGTAAGCTGGTGTGAGCAGATCGCAAATCTCGCACATGCGTCGTGGAAATCTAAGGAAGTCTCGTTCTGGCCTACAAGGAAGAAAAGAAATAGTCGAATAAACTCGTTATTTTTGTAAAAGTATTCGCGTCGCTTGATAAACATATAGTTGAGCCACGGTAGTCACTTGGGATATTTAAACATTTTCTTCATTGACTTTCTGGGCCGTCAAGAGGCAGTCCTTTAGGAGCCAATGTGGTAGTTATACAGCTCTCAAATTTAATCAAAAATATCTTCATTTGTGTTCCGAAGACGAACGAAGGTCTTACGGGCTTGGTACAGCATGGGGGTGAGTAATTAATGACTTAATTTTCATTTTTGGGTGAACTAACCCTTTAAGACGCACCATGAGATCTTCAGGAGGCACTTGATAATTACAGAGAGGAGTGTTTGATAAGGGTTAGATCTGAACTCTGGAGGAAGTTAGATCTCCAGGAACAGGATTGGGCAGCCCGAAATAAATAAAGCATGAAAAATAATGTTTACAATCTACACTTTTAAAATATGTATTTCTGTTGCTTTTCTCTGTCTGTGCCAGACACCATTTCTCATCATGGTTTAGATGGTTTTTATAGCAGGACAGGAAGAAGCTCTTCACCTTTATTCACACATGCTCTAAATAGCCATTCTCTCTCACAAACAAGTTTGTCAACCAGCAGATCAAACCACACCTCTGAAGAACACCAACCGCATCTTTCAGTTTGAATCAGAAGACGAACTTCAGTAAACCGGTATGTGAGAACAGACATGCGGTTTAACTTTTTCCATACACTAAAAATGAGTGCTGAATAAATATCCACTGCCATTTTAAAATGAGAGTTACACTCCATTTCACCGCACAATGTTCATCATATATTTTCATCCAATATTCACACAATATTCTTCAACTTTTAAATATTTAACATAGTCAATTAACTACATTTCAATGATTGTCTAAAACAGAATGTTTTTCACTATTAAAAACAGTTTTTTTTACATAATAGTCTTATTCTAAGACTGTATGTAACCAACATGCGTATGAGCGGCTGTGAACTATAGGAGGGTCAAACTCTGTCAGGGGAGGATTCACACGCAAGATTTCCAGCTCCGTTACGCTTGTTTTAATCAGTTTGAGTTTTCACTGGACAACTGAACATGTTTCTCACGCTTGTTTTGCTCTGTTTGTGCTGCTGCCGTCTCATTGGTAAGCTATTCATATATTCATGGTGTAATTTGTTTGCATTGCAGAGTAATAAGCTACTGCTACAGTTCAAATCAGATTGTTTTCATCTGCATTTATCATGTAACTTTACATTTATTTTGCTACATAAGAAATTTTTAAAACACATTGAAGATAAATAATTGATTCACACATGTCTGACTGTTGATATGGGTCACCTTTCAGTTTGATAAGCATCTCTGCTGCTGTTCTTCAATAAAGGTTAGCAAATGAGTTCAGGCTTTGTAAGAACCTTAATACATGACAAAACCTCTTAATGTTCTCCAGGTGTGTTTAGTGATTCAGTGTCAGTGACGGAGGGAGATTCTGTTACTCTAAACACCGATGTTACTGAAATACATGAAGATGACGATATACTGTGGAAATATGGAGCAGAAAAGTCTCTCATAGCTCAAATCAGTAAAGCTGCTGGAGTCTTCTCCACATATGATGTTCCTGATGGGAGATTCAGAGACAGACTGAAGCTGGACGATCAAACTGGATCTCTGACCATCACACACACCACAACTGAACACACTGGAGTTTATACACTAGTGATAAGTGGAGCCAAACGATCATCAAAAACATTCAGTGTTTCTGTCTATGGTGAGTGAAGATTATTTCTTCAGACCTTCAAATGTTTTTTTTTTTTATTTTACGAAATTGTTAAGGAATATTTTGGCTTCAATATAATTTAAACTTAACCATCAGCATAATGTTGATTATAAAAGTTTCAAGGCGCTTACTATGGAAGTTAATGAAGTCATTTATAAGGAGAATGTGAAGCTAATAATTGAATAGAAACACAATTATTCTCTTTATTTCAGCTGTAAAGCTATTTAAATAATATTCTAACCTGTTCTTTTGGCAAAGGGACAAAATTGTAAAATTAGAATACTTTACACACAATTTTTAAAAAAAATTAAAATCATGTTAACATTCATTGTTCATGTCTTGTTGCTGTACTGATGAAAACTCATTAACTTCCTGTAAGTGTCCCTGTAACCCAGAGTCTCGCTTTTCTGCTGAACAAATGGAAATAATTTGTGCTAATAATAAACACAATTTGCCTTTAATTGCAACATATGCTGTTGATTAGGTTTCACTTTCACTGAACTCTGAATTCTCCATTATTTTTATATTTTGACATGTTTAATAATTGTATACTTTGAGATGATAGAAACACGCTCTGACTGTCATTCCACTACACTGGAAATAAGATTGTTGACTATATTTAACCACATTTATGTTTATTCTCTCATATTTTTCAGCTCAACTGCCCACTCCTAACATCACCAGAGACTGCTCTTCATCATCATCATCATCAAATTGTTCATTGGTGTGTTCATCATCAGTGTTGAGTGTGTGTGATGCGACTCTGTCCTGGTACGCAGGAATGAGTGTATTGTCCAGCATCAGTGTGTGTGATCTCAGCATCAGTCTCTCTCTACCTCTGGAGGTGGAATATCAGGATAAAAACACCTACAGCTGTGTGCTGAACAATCCCATCAGCAACCAGACCACACATCTGGACATCAACACACTCTGCAGACACACATGTGCAGGTACACCACCACTCATCATATACGTGTGTGTGTGTGTGTGTGTGTTTGTTTACTGACCTGATCTCTGTCTTCTGTTCTAGATCACACTGACGCGCTCACTTCTTTGTTTGTCATTACAGCGGACACACACACTCCTCCTCCAGTGTCTCTGATAGTGTTGATCTCGGCTGGATCTCTGATGATTGTTGCTGCCATTGGGATCTTCTGCATCTGCAAGAAATGTAGAAAGATTGACAGACGAGGCAAGTGTTACAAAGTAATATTGTAACAAATAATACTTTTGATCGATTAATAAGCCTTAATTATCATTTAATCAATAATTGCCACACATTTATTCTCATAATTGCTTTTTATGAATTATCATATTTCTTTTTATTCAAAACACTGGAAATGCACAATGAGGGATAAAAATCTGCATGTATTAAATGATAAAATGCTCCATTTTAGAAACATAATATTACATGTGTAAAGATGCAGCTGATGCTCAAATTGACCTTATACACAGCTGCACTACTTCCTGAAATTAAGCCAGCTCCTTGTTTCCTGTCTGCCATTATTGGTCAAATTGATTAATTCAGGTGTGCCTTATTATTGTTGCCGTGACTACTGAGGTCAGGCACACCTGAACTAATCAATTTGTCCAATAATGGCAGACAGGAAACAAGGAGCTGGCTGAAGTTCAGGAAGTAGTGCAGCTGTGCATAGAGCCAATTAAAATCTCTGTGTCGACTTGTTAAATTTCATATACTAGCAAAGAATTTTTGTCTTTACTTTTGTTAAAGGCATCCTGCCTGGGTTTGGTTTATAAATTACAGAATGTCTGAAAAAGTTATTATCCTAATTTTAAATAAAATTTGTTGATGTCGTTTTTAAAAACTGCACCATTAAACATTTAATTAAATGTGTGTTAATGTTTTAACTCTGACAGCCGTAATAATTATAGGTTGTAAAGCAACAGATTAAGTTGAGTTATGTAGTGTTGTTTTTAATGTATCTTTTATCATTGAAACAGAGGAGACTCGTGCAGAAGAGATCACTTACGCAGATCCAGTGTTCTACAAAAGAAACACACAGAAATCGGTAAGACGATGAACATGTTTACGCGTACAAATACACGTTACAGATTACACTTAAGCAAGCAATTAGTCATATGAACTGGACAACATATCAACAACTGCAGGAACTATACAGGAAACACTGCAGTATCTCACATTTTTTTTTTAAATAATATAATTACATACAGGAATAGAGACATTTAAACAATTAATGGTTGTACAATAAGACTACAAATAATTTTTAATACATTTAAATTAAAGGTCTTGTGTCAGATAACTACTAGCTAGAAATAGGGCATAATAGTATGCTAAATATAATTTTATTTATTTTTTATCATCACCAACAAACTAAAAAGAAAAGTTTCCCCAAGATGGTTTGTTAGCTTGGCCGTAAGAGGGAATTTTTTTATTTTTGTCATATAACAGTGCAGATCAATGCTATTAGGAAAAACTATAAGCCTATAATCACATTACATCTCAATCAATCTTCAGATTGAACCTGCCACAATATTTATTATTATCATATATTTTGCTATTGTTTAATTTATTTATTTTTTTTACAGAAAGTGAAAGAGGAGGATCATGTGGATTATGCACCTTTCACCAGAAGATGATCAAACTTAATTATTTTATAAGTCCAAGACAGCTGTTTGATCACTCTCACTGGGAACCTCCTCTCACGGTACATCTTAAACTACAGAGCCCCTGAAGGGACATGGCGATGGGAGGGGCGAGGGGGCCATCACGTTTTCCAAAAAGGTTGCATTTCCTCAGAGAAACGTCTTCTACCGCGAAACATTTGTCATCACCATGTCTCTTTACGGGCTCCATATTAAAGAGATCATATGAATCTCATGATAAAAGGGCAAAACGTAGATGTAAAATACTCATCTAAAGGAGTGGAGACCTTGCTTTAATCATTTATTTAGATCTGAACAGATATTATTTGATCTGTTGGACAGATGGCTTGAGTGTGAGAGTGTGTCTGCTGCTGGAGGTTTGTGTTTGATGTCAGTTTTGTGTGTGTCAGTGGTGTGTTTGAGTAAAGATTGTGGTCGAAGGGCTTTTTCCATTCCAGCCCACACCGTTTGACTTCTGCTCTTCTCCTTTTTTTTTTTTTACTACAACATACTCAACTCATGTTTCACAAAAAAGTCTTAATCAAACATATGATATGATATTTCTGCGAAATAGGAAAATATCATACTTTTTGTGCATGTGTTACATGAACATACACATGCATGCAGTGATCGTGCAGACAAGTTCTGCTAGTTTCAGTAGTTATTTCCGGCTCTAGCAAGAGAGTAAAAGGTTTTTTTTCTACGAAGAGCTATTCTTGGATCTCACACTTTTTTTAAATACATGTTATGCTTTTTTTTCTCAATATCTGGGGATTATTTTAAGAATAATTTCAATGAACGCTGTACAGTTATATTCTGTTATATAACATGCCGATATTTGATGAATGTTGTCATTTTTTTTTGTTTTCATTGGTTTTGTCAAGAAAATAACTGAAAGTACAAACATTATGTAAAAACAGTGCACAGTATTGCTGCTGTCCAAAAGAAAATCATAAATTGTCAAAATATTTAATAACCTTATTTCTTCAGATGCACTCAAAAAAATGATTTTAGCTCTTTGTTCAATTTCATTAATTAAAATGAGCATATACCACACCTTCATAGAAGTGATTCCAGCTTCATTTCATTAAATGTAATCAATGTAATTTTACAATGTAATTTTGCAATCAATTTTAATTTTACTAATTTTTTTTTTAATTGAGTCAACATGAATATTTTTCGTTCATACTAAACGGATGTCACTCAAAAAATGAATTTTGGCCTCTTGTTAAAATAATTAATTAAAATAAGCAAAAGTAATATGATTGTTTAATATTGTCACAACTTAATTCAATTGTGTTATATATGGGGATATATATGAATATTATATCATCATTAATAATATTATTATTCATGTTTTTGTCATTAATTGCAGAAAGTGTTTGACACATGGCACTGACAATTCAACCAAATGCAAAGTATTTATTCAATTTCTGTGAGAGAGAGAGAGAGAGAGAGAGAGAGAGAGAGAGAGAGAGAGAGAGATTATGACCGGTGTTGTTTGTTGTAAGTGTTTTGGACTCCTTTATCATTTGTGGTGTTGGCTCCCAGGCCATTTAAAACACTTTAGCCAAACACTCCGCCATTTTAGGGAGCTTTCCTCTCAGGGCCAATGAGAGGATGCTTGTTTGCTTTTTACCTGACATCTTTGAAAGACAGATGCAATGATTAATGCATCCATGGCAAGGATAATTATAAAATATGATTCTCTAACAGCAGTCAAGTTGTCATTGTTTGTGTCAAACAATTAGTAAATTTGTTGTAACATTAAAACAGGAGATCATGACTTACTCTACTCAAAGTGTTCCTTTTGATCTCCAGAGGTTTCCTCTGCGGGTGAACGAAACTTTTGGAAGAGATCTTGTTGCAGAATCACGTGAACAATTCCAGGAAATGCTTTCTTTTATTGGTTGTTGCGTTAAATCTTACCCAGATACAATAGTGCTATTTTCTGATTGGCTAGCCTTAGTATGTATAGCCCTTCTTTTTTTTGATTGGCTGATAAGCGACAGGCTCGAGACGAGAGCAGGGGAGATGCGCGCGGCCAGAGACAATTTGGGCGCTGCGGCATATTAATATATTATAAATAGTTTTTCTGCGTGAGAAATACAATGTGTGGCGGGAGTGCGTGACAAAAGACCGAAATGAGTGACTGTCACGCTCAATGCTTGACACTTGAGAGCCCTGCGCTATATGTGCTTTAAACCTCCTGTATGTGTAAACCTCACTCACAGTCCTGCACTAAGTAATATAATATTACTATGTTAAAAATAGTTTAAAAGTGTCTATCATTAAAAGTGACCAGAGTCAAGATAACTAAAATGATAATGTTGGTGAATTAAGGCAGGACAAAACTAAATGTAGTTAACCTGACAAAACTTTATCTAGTAGGAATGACTAAATTAATTTAAATTAATACAACAAGATTACAATAAATTATTTCAAACTAATTTGAATTTGTGGAAAACCTTCCCAGCAAGCAATTTTGCGCCTAAAAGACGTCTTATAGCCGTCAAAACATAGCCCAGACGTCTAGGCTAAAACAAGGCTAAAATTGGGCTGTCAGTGAAAATCTACCAGACGTCTAACCACACCCCAATAATAAGACATCTAACCAAACATCGCCCAAGAACAGACTAGTCATCAATTAGACGCCTTTTAAACGACTACATATACATGTAATGGACAACAAAATGATGGCTAAAGGTCCAGGATTCTTTTCACTTAAATACAACAGGTTCTCATAAATGACAATCCATCCAAATAAAATTAAATATTAAGGTTTTATAAAAAAAAAAGAACATTAACAACTTACAGAAAGTTAAAAATAGAAAAATGACCAAATATTGAGTGTGAACCAAAATATTAAAAATACAAAATAAAATGATATAAAAAATGTAACATCAATTTAAGATAATAAAATGTAAACTCTGCTGCTGCTGGGAAGTTGGTCATCTGCCAAAAAAAAAAAAAATTGTTGAAATTGTCAAGAAAAGCATTGCTGACAGTTTAACTTCAAGTGTCAACTTCACCTGTACTGTTTTTTTTTATTGATTATTTTTTTTATTTTTAATATGTGTATGTATTCTGTTTAGGTTTTAATGCATTTCATCTAAGCTATTTGCATTATTGATACACTGTAAAAAAATATTGTTGGTTTAACTTAAATGAAGTAACCTGGTAGCCTTAAAAATTTAAGTTCATTGAAATGGAAAAAGTGAGTTAATACAATGAAGGAGATAGATTTAATCATCAGAAACTCAAAATATTATGTTATCTGAACTAAATAAATTATTCAAGTTGATTTGACAAAAGAAAAAAATGTTGTGATAAATCATGAAAATGTTTTTTTTACAGGGATACTTTTTAGAATTGCTAATTTTATAAAGCCAATCATTTGTATTTTTATGCTGTATTATAAAATGAATTTGAAAGTTTCAAACTTGAATGAATGAACGAAGGAATTAAGAATAAAACTTCATCTTATTGTGCTTGTACAATGACAATTATGATTCTACTCTAACTTATGCTCTCTCTGTATGCAACAAGCCATTGTTCAAACAAATTCAAATATATTAGTTCAAATCAATGATGGGCTTTGTCAAAGATGAGAGCGTTAGTGAGGAAATAATATTTTCAAATCATAATGTTCTAAAGCTTAGATCTTACTTAAAGAGTCCTTTTTGGCTCAGTCTGGTTGATGGATTTGTGAGTGGAGTGCTTTACTTTGAAAGTTAATCAATACATTATATTTAAATAACCAAAACTACTTATTTTTGTTGTTGTAGTTGTCTTTTTTGTTTTTGTAAAATCTTTACACATACTTTTGGTGTTTTTTCAGGTATTACTATTGTTATTTGGGGATAGAGTGTGGCTGTTTGGTGAAGGGTTTGTTTGGCAACAGACAAAAAAAAGGAAGACTTCACCTATCTGGGAATATTTTGAGCTGATAACTTACAATGTATGTAGCCTATGCATTTTTAAAGAAGAAAAAAACATATTTATTTATTATTTAACTTTTTTACTTAGGCCCATTTTATTGTTGTATTTTACAATGTTCTTATGTTCAGTCAGTGAATGTACATCTAGTCACTCCCAATTTTTTTTCTCACACTTCTGAGGTGGAAACCTTTGTCTTCTGTTGGACAGTGCTGTAGACCAGCACAATCAAGCTCAAATGTCACTTCTGATACGATAATAGAAGTGGATAAATATACCTTACAGAGACAAACATACAAAGAGCTGAAGATCCACTTGAATCCTGGAGAATGTAGAACATGTCTACCCCCATCTATATACAATACATTGGCATTACGGTTTCCTTGTATCCCGGCCTCTTCTGGGTTATGTGTATGGAAGTAAATGTGTAGCAATATTCAATTTGAAACGTAATACGCAAAATGACAATGCAATATGTAAAATGGCATTGCATTTTGTATTTAAATTTACATTTTACATAACCATTCTAGCAATGTTTGATGCAAAAATAAAATTAAAAAGCGCCATTACAGTACAAGGCCATCTGCGACTACTACTAGAAAAATACACTTCTTGATGAAAATGGCAGTATTGGAAGGCGCACTGAAGAAGGCACGCGCCGAAACGCGTTTGTGTAAAATAAACTTTCTATGCAAAGTGCGGCCTCTTTCTTCCATAGTCTTGGAAGGCAAACATTCAACAGCAAGCAGCAAACACAAAATGAGAGTAACTTGGCAAGCCCTCACGGACCAGAAGTGCATATGACGTGTTCTATTTGGGACTGAGTTTCGTCCTCTTCATCTCACAACAACACCTTAGTTCTCCTCAGTATCCCTTTAAATAAATGTGCCAAAATAATAATTAATGTTGCTGTGATGTTCCAATGGCGGTCTGATTATTGCATGTCCCTTTAGAAGGATCCTCATTCTGACAAACGACTCCGAGTAAGTGTTGTTCATTCACCTGCAAGATTCACAGAAGGTAAAATAAATGAACAGGACTGATTATTCAGTCACACAAACAGAAAAATTATTAAGTTAAATGAGACTTGGAATTGTGTTTGAGGAATATGGGGTGGTTTCCTTTTCCTAAACATTTGACACATTCCAGTACTACAGTAGTAAAATGTTTGAAACTGAATGTCTGATTCTTATTTATTAAAATAATATGAAATTACTCATTGAGAATTTGGGTGTTATATAAAATGGGCAACATGACATCATGACTTTTGCGTAAACATACACGCCACTTTCAAATCAGGTGGCGTGTTATCTCTACGCATTTTGAGCTATCCGTGTGTATGCGTGTGTCTACGGCATTAACGTCCGCGTCTTTCCGCGTGTCTGTACACGCAGTCAAATCTCCAGTCATAAATGCCATTAACCCCAGTGACGGTTAAGTTTAGGGATGGGGTTGAGGTAAGTCATATCTTTTTTTTACCTAGGATGGTAAGGGAACAGTCATAAATGCCATTAACCCCAGTGACGGGTAGGTTGAGGTAGGTCATATATTTATATATACAGTAATAACGTTAAGTCAACGGCATTCATAAACACGCTGAAAAGCGATTATGCGTCTTGATAGCACGCCAAAAATGGAAATACGAATTGGCGTGGCATACACACGCTACTTCATGAGATCAGTCTGAAAATGTGCGTGTGTGTGTGTGTTTTAACATAATTATTTAATCACATAAGATTAGAATTCATGCCACCGCATTTCAATCTAAAGTAAAAGTGTCAATATACTGATTTTTTTATGAAACTACATAAAACTGTTCAGATCTGTTAGTGGCATCAAGTTTTTGGTGCATTTTGTTTTACCTCATTATGATTTTCGGCCACACTGATGCCTGCTGTGAGAATAAGAACAAACTCAAATCAGAATGAAAAGACTTATTTTCGCACACAAACTCATATTTCCATCTTATTAAATCAGCTGTATGTAATGCTCACCAGATCTTGTTGCTTGATGGCAAACCATAGCAGCAACCGCAGCCGCAGCCGCAGCAACCACCAGGAGTATTATTCCTACACGAACAACTAGAGTTCGACCTGAACCTGTAACAAAGAGACAGACATCAATTTTACTGATATTTACACCTTTCTGTTCTGTTCATCAGTTGTGTGGTACAGATTTAAATGATAAATGACGGGTTTTTGAGAAACAAGAACTAAATGGCATCAAAGCAGTTTGAACTCAACAGGAAACCTGCTTTTGTGCAGTTAATGACGTGATTTATCATAATGTTGGTCAAAACTGTCCACAATGAAAGGCACTGTATTTAAAATGCATTGACAGACTAAGGCCCCGTCCACACTACTACGTTTTCGTTTAAAAACGGAGACCTTTTGCTACGTTTGCACCTCCCGTCCACACTAAAACGGGAAAAACGAAGACCTAAAACGGAGAAGTTTAGAAACGCTGCAGCTGCGTTTTGAATCTCCGGAGGGCGTTTTAGTGTGGACGAGACAAAACAGAGGAGTTTACAAACGATGACGCAGAAGCTCACGCTCGGCTCTATGATTGGGTGTCATCAGTCATGACGTATCCTTCCCTGATTCGTCAAACACTGTTTACACCGGCGCGCGCATGCCCAGTGTTGGTGAATGGTCACGTGATCCTCGTTTTCAGTCGTTTTAATGTGGGCGGAGATCAATTCTAATACGCAGATAAAACGCTGGTGTGGACGGAGATCGTTTTCGTTTTAATTCTCCGTTTTTAAACGAAAACGCAGTAGTGTGGACGGGGCCTAAATGACACTCACCAGTCACAGTAACAATGAACCTCCTAATCCTGCTAATACTGAAGCTGTATCTGTTGCTGATGATCTGTAGTGTATATTCTCCAGAGTGTGTGTTTGTGGTGTGTGTGATGATCAGAGATCCAGTCTGAGGATCCAGCTTCAGTCTGTCTCTGAATCTCTCTTTACACTGAAGATCTTCACAGATCTTACTCTGATCTCCACTGGATTCAGCGATGCGAATGTCATTAAAATACCACATCACATCATTTGTTTTTTTTATAACAACAGGTAAAGTGACAGATTCACCCTGTTTCACTGTCTTCACTTCATCTCGTTCTGCAGCAGCAACACCTGAAACACAAACCAACAGAAGATTTATTTGTTGAAAACAAAACACATCTTGGACAACACATCTGTCATAGAATAGAAAGATACCGGTTCCAATTCAAAAGTGGTTAAGGAAACTAAATGGTAGTTTTTAGTTTTTAAAATCTCTATAGCTTAAATTAAAACGACGTGTTGAATAAATGCACAACAAAATAAAGCTTATGGATTGGTTTATAATTCAACTATTTCGTAATAGAGCATGAAGCTGTCAAATAGGCTATTTATTTACCCCAATAACTCATTGGGAATCACTCCCGTTTTTATACGCAGATCAATTTTACAACACCAGTAACAACAGTCCATGTACCTCATGAAATGATTGACAAATTCCTTGAAAAAGCCAAAACACAACAAACAGTGAGTAGATGAACTCACTCAACACATTACAACACAAATGTTAATCCTGTATAGTTGTGAAATAGGTAAGGCCGTTGGTTCAGTCCAAAATGAAGTCACCAGCGCCATCTAGTGGTTGTTGTCAAAACTGTTTCACCTCTTGGTACTTCTATACTCTTTGGTTTAAGTGCTTAGCATTTACTGTACTAAAGTGTCCACTCAATGAGTGAAATAACATGTTGTCTGGATGTTTTGTGAAGAGTCTCCTGTTTATAGTTAGAATAACCTTCATTTTTAGCCTTCCAGTTAAATATTGCACTGCAAACATCAATAACAGCTTGAAGTTGCTGTGCAGGCAAATGACCATGGTATAAATGTGATAATCCACGTGGTTCTTTGTCCCTCACATAATACATTCACAATTTTAAGAAACGTTTTGTTTTTCCATGTTGCAAAGAGTCCCTGCTGCTGTAAACACCACAAACATGTGATATAAACATATATAACCTGCTTTTAAATGCTAAATGACTCACCATCAACTTCTAGACTGAAGGTTTTTTCAATGTTGCGGCTGCCGAAGATCTGTAGTTGATATTCTCCAGAGTCTGTGTTTCTGGTGTTTGTGATGGTCAGAGATCCAGTCTGATGATCCAGCTTCAGTCTGTCTCTAAATCTCTCATTGTCTTTATTACACTGAACATCTGTACAGGACTTACTGAGATCTCCATTGATTTGTGCGATTATAGTGTTATTAAAATACCATTTAGCTCTGTCTTGCTGGTTTGTTTTAACACCAGTGTGTAGAGTGACTGAATCTCCCTCCTCCAAAAACACTTCAGCTCCTGAAGAAGAAATTACCAGATAATCATAAATCACTTTTAAAATTGTGGGTAAAAATTATTTATTTATTTATTTTATTTTTATTTTTTTTACATGTGAAATAACAGTAACATTATAGCCATGATGTTTTATGCATTGTTCATGTGAAAAATGTTACGGTAAAAAAGATGATCTCCATAATATTTCAATATTGAGACAAAGCTCACTTTTTCATTTTACTTTACTGATTTAAAAATATTCAGCTGTACTTTAACACTTCTTACAATAAAATGCATTGAATGACTGAATTATACTCACCACTGACAGTAACATTGAAGATCTTAAGGCTGTCAGTATTGCTGATGCTACTGGTGATCTGTAGTTCATAAACTCCAGAGTCTGCTTGTTGGATATCGCTGATGGTCAGAGATCCAGTCTGCAGATCCAGCTTCAGTCTGCCTCTGAATCTCTCAGTATCTTCATTACACTGAACATCTGTACAGCTACTAATATGTCCAATGACTTGAGCTATACGAGTGTTTTGAAAAAACCATTTAATTCTGTCTTTCTGGTTTATCTTAACATTGGTGGGTAGAGTGACTGAACCTCCCTCCTTCACGGTCAGTCTGTCGATCTCAACATCAGAAACACCTGGAGAAGAAATGAACAGATAGTCATGAATCATTAATGTCTGGGATAGTGGAGGGAAATTATATAACAGGAAAGTGCTGTGAAAATGTTATTCTACAGATCATACTGTGAGAAATATGTCTGTATTCACAATGTAACATGCAAACAGTAAAAGAACATCATAGATTAACACATTCACTCATCGGACAATCACAAGTCTCATGAACAATCTTGTTGAAGTTTTGGAGATATTCAAAATTAAACTTCCATAGCACTCAGTTAAGGCTTTAAAGTTCAGGTCCCTTTTAAACACCAAAAACCATGTTTATTGTAGTTAACCCATGGTAACCACAGATTAACCATGTTTTTTTTTTTACATTAACCATTGTTTTGATAACTGTGGCAATACAAATGGTAATCAACCCGCCAAAAACATGGTTGCTACACTTTTACAATAATAAAACCATGACTATTTTAAAGCGCAGCCCTTCAACCCTGTCTCAACGTTTCACTTTTGACAAATAACGTTAGCCTGTTTTGCAGTTGTGAGGTTCAATCTTCCTCTCTCTACAAAATCTCCAAACATTAAATAATATAAAACTACTTAAAGCTATACAGAAATATATTCACCATTTAAAACAGGATTGATAACGTGTGAGTGATAGATCATCTGTTGTTATGGCCTACCACTCCTCAGTCTGCCCCCTCATTATCATATCTAATAGAGGGAATACGCGTGACGTCACCGTCGGCCTGAGTGCCTGCAGTTCCTCACAGTGAGTGGCAAAAAGACTGAGCGGCTGTATGTGTTCAGCGTGAATGCCGCGAAAAACAAACACAACACACACAAATAAAGTGGGAAAGAGCTTTGCGATTGACTGTAGGCCTACAACTAGATTTGACAAAACATCGGAGGTATATTTGTACAGACTGCTATGGAAAGAGGAGCAAATGGATCGCTGCAATTCACAGAAACAACTGGACTCCAGTCTGCCAAAGGTAGATTTGCAGTTATCATTTTGTGTCAATATGCTGAATTTAGCTTGAAAACCATGCCCATATATTTTGTATTGTTATATACATTATCAGCTCATCAATTAAATATTTATCATTGCATATTCTGCTTTATTGGATGTTTTTTAATAAAAAAAAGTTTTTTTTTATTAGAAAAAGTTTTAGGGCTGGACGATATGATGATATACGTATATAGGCTATATATAACACTGATATAAGTGATCACCCGGATTTAGACCTACCTATATTATATTTATATAAAGCGTTCACAGGCAAATTTGCTTTACGTTTAGGTTTTGGTTTATTTCCCCGGTGTCGAAATCAGGCAAACATAAATGTCAGGCAACACGATTCCCGGCTGCATGTCAATATCCATGGATCGCTGGATCTTTAGTAAGTTGTAAGGAACACTATATTGAGTCCAACATTTAGTTTAAATTGATAAAATTGTTGGATTTAGTCGCATTTCCGCAGTTTTCCCCTATTAAATCCAGTCACGCAGCAAGAGCAGATCTTTTGCCACTCGGACGAGGCTGACTCCAGCTCCTTTTTCGCCAGCTCCTTATTCGCCGAACTATTCGTTCCACCTTAAAAATGTTGGATGGTTGTTAACCCCTCCCCCTCGGTTCTTTTGCCCGTATTTCTTAAAGGAACAGTTGTATGGGGATTATGAGCCTGTTGATCGGGCAGCATTTGTCATTTAACAGTGCATGTATACTCTTGTAAAAATATATTTTATGCCTCTGTAAATGGTGTAAACTACGTGGTAAATTCAACCAGAGGACTTATTTTGTATTTAAGTTCCATCTCTTACTAAATGTATTTTAAAAGAAAGGAGAAAAGTGACATTATGTTTCTAACTGAAAATTAATGTTATGTAATTTATATTCTTTATTAGAATTTATTATATATTTATTAGACTGGAGTAATGGATAACTTCTAATGAAGAATATAAATTACATAACATTAATTCTCAGTTGCAAACATAATGAAAAAAAAAAAAAACAGGAATGTGCAGGTGTAGATAATTCATTATTAAATCGAATCTTGCATTACAACATTTTCTGATGTGTTATTGTTTAATTATGGTACCCAGAAAAGTTCTCAAAAAAAGCGGAACGTAGAGGTATAGATAAATTCATTATTAAACGAAATCCTGCATTACAAAATTTTCTGATGTGTTATTGTTGAAATATGGTACCCAGAACATGCCCCACCATTGCAACTTTACATATGCTGACAGAGCATACTGGAGGTGTCATTTCTTTATTTTTTTCAAAAGTTCTCAAAAAAAGGCGAACATAGAGGTATAGATAAATCCATCCTTTAACGAAATCCTGCATTATCACATTTTCTGATGTGTTATTGTTGAAATATGACACCCAGAAAATGACTCGCCATTGAAACTATATGTGCCCGCAGAGCATACTGGAGGTGTCATTTCTTTATTTTTTCAAAAGTTCTCAAAAAAAGGGGAACGTGGAGGTATAGATTAATCCATTCTTAAACCAAATCCTGCATTTCAACATTTTCTGATGTGTTATTGTTGAAATATGACACCCAGAACATGCCCCACCATTGAAACTATATGTGCCGACAGAGCATACTGGAGGTGTCATTTCTTTATTTTTTCAAAAGTTCTCAAAAAAAGGGTAACATAGACGTATACATAAATCCATCCTTAAACGAAATCCTGCATTATCACATTTTCTGATGTGTTATTGTTAAAATATGACACCCAGAAAATGACTCTCCATTGAAACTATATGTGCCGACAGAGCATACTAGAGGTGTCATTTCTTTATTTTTTCAAAAGTTCTCAAAAAAAGGGGAACGTAGAGGTATAGATCAATCCATTCTTAAACCAAATCCTGCATTTCAACATTTTCTGATGTGTTATTGTTGAAATATGACACCCAGAACATGCCTCACCATTGAAACTATATGTGCCCGCAGAGCATACTGGAGGTGTCATTTCTTTATTTTTTCAAAAGTTCTCAAAAAAAGGGGAACGTGGAGGTATAGATAAATCCATTCTTAAACCAAATCCTGCATTTCAACATTTTCTGATGTGTTATTGTTGACATTTGACAGCCAGAACATGCCCCACCATTGAAACTATATTTGCAGACAGAGCATACTGGAGGTGTCATTTCTTTATTTTTTCAAAAGTTCTCAAAAAAAGGGGAACGTAGAGATATAGATAAATCCATTCTTAAACCAAATCCTGCATTTCAACATTTTCTGATGTGTTATTGTTGACATATGACACCCAGAACGTGCCCCACCATTGAAACTATATGTGCCCGCAGAGCATACTGGAGGTGTCATTTCTTTATTTTTTCAAAAGTTCTCAAAAAAAGGGGAACGTGGAGGTATAGATTAATCCATTCTTAAACCAAATACTGCATTTCAACATTTTCTGATGTGTTATTGTTGAAATATGACACCCAGAACATGCCCCACCATTGAAACTATATGTGCCGAGCATACTGGAGGTGTCATTTCTTAATTTTTTCAAAAGTTCTCAAAAAAAGGGGAACGTAGAGATATAGATAAATCCATTCTTAAACCAAATCCTGCATTTCAACATTTTCTGATGTGTTATTGTTGAAATATGACACCCAGAACATGCCCCACCATTGAAACTATATGTGCCCTCAGAGCATACTGGTGTCATTTCTTTATTTTTTTCAAAAGTTCTCAAAAAAACGAGAATGTAGATGTATAGATAAATTCATTCTTAAACGAAATCCTGCTTTACAACATTTTCTGATGTGTTATTTTTGAAATATGGTACCCAGAACATCCAACTTTATGTGCCGACAAGCATACTCATACTTTATTATTTCATAAGTTCTCCAAAAAACAAAAAACGTAAAAAAAAAACTAAAAAAAAAAAACGAGCACATATAGGTGCCTAGGATATTACTTTTTTTTTTTTTTTTGAAGAACTTGTGAAATGATAAAGTCATATTTCACATACAGTTGCATGTTCTGGGTACCATATTTCAACAATGACACATCAGAAAATGTTGTCATTCATAAAATTCGTTCAATAATGGATTTATCTGTTCCCCTTTTTTTGAGAACTTTTGAAAAAATAAAGAAATGACACCTCCAGTATGCTCTGTTAGCACATATTTCAATTGCAAGTCATTTTCTGGGTGTCATATTTCAACAATAACACATCAGAAAATGTTGAAATGCAGGATTTGGTTTAAGAATGGATTGATCTATACCTCTACGTTCCCCTTTTTTGAGAACTTTTGAAAAAATTCAGAAATGACACCTCCAATATGGTCTGTTGGCACATATAGTTGCAATGGTGGGCCATGTTCTGGGTGTCATATTTCAACAATAACACATCAGAAAATGTTGTAATGCATGATTTGGTTTAAGAATGGATTGATCTATACCTCTACGTTCCCCTTTTTTTGAGAACTTTTGAAAAAATTAAGAAATGACACCTCCAATATGGTCTGTTGGCACATATAGTTGCGATGGTGGGCATGTACTGGGTGTCGTATTTCAACAATAACACATCAGAAAATGTTGTAATGCAGGATTTCGTTTAATAATGAATTTATCTATACCTGCATTCCAGGTTTTTTTTTTCATTATGTTTGCAATTAAGAATTAATGTCATGTAATTTATTTTCTTTATTAGAAGCTATCCATTACTCCAGTCTATTATATATATGTGTGTGTATATACTGTATATATATATATATATATATATATATTAGGGCTGTGCAAAAATTAATTGCGATTAATCGCATCCAAAATAAAAGTCTGTGTTTACATAATATATTTGTGTGTGCTGTATATAATTATTTTGTATATATAAATACCTATGCATGCATGTATATATTATTTGCGCTTAAATTCTGTATATATATATAAATAAATACATAATCTATATTATATAAATATTTTATTTATGAATAACACATTTTCCTAAATATATACATGCATGTGTGCGCATTTATATATACAAAATAATTATATACAGCACACACAAATATATTATGTAAACACAGACTTTTATTTTGGATGCGATTAATCGCAATTAACTTTTTGCACAGCCCTAATTAGGGCTGTGCAAAAGTTAATTGCGATTAATCGCATCCAAAATAAAAGTCTGTGTTTACATAATATATTTGTGTGTGCTGTATATAATTATTTTGTATATATAAATACACACACATGCATGTATATATTTAAGAAAATGTGTTATTCATATATAAAATATTTATATAATATAGATTATGTATTTATAAATATATACAGAATTGAAGCGCAAATAATTCTTAAATATATACATGCATGCATAGGTATTTATATATACAAAATAATTATATACAGCGCACACAAATATATTATGTAAACACAGACTTTTATTTTGGATGCGATTAATCGCAATTAACTTTTGCACAGCCCTAATATATATATATATATATATACATATATTTATTTATTAGACTATTTGCATATATATATATATATATACATACATATATATTAGACTGGAGTAATGGATAGCTTCTAAAAAAAGAATATAATTTACATAACATTAATTCTCAGTTAGAAACATAATGTCACTTTTCTCCTTTCTTGACAAATGCTGCCCGATCAACAGACTTCCATTCGACTGTTCCTTTAAGAAAAACGGCAAAAGCACCGAGGGGAGGGGTTAACAACCATCCAACATTTTTTAAGGTGGAACGTATAGTTCGGCGAATAAGGAGCTGGCGAAAAAGGAGCTGGAGTCAGCCTCGTGCCACTCGGTCAAGCTGAGGGGGGTTGTCACGCGGGAAAGTCACGTGTCAAATGCACTCCCTCTATCCACAAGTTTCCTACGCCCCATGAGGCCTTGCGTCAAAAGTGGGCGCGACTT